ATACTTGAGAGGAATGAAAGAAATTTGATTTATGCAGCTATCAAATGTGATTAAATCACCAGAGGTAGAAAGGACACTTTCTGGACCTTTCTTTTTTTTTTACTTTAATTTTAAGCAGAGAATGAAATTTTCTTCTGAATTATTTTCCCCAGCCTTCACTCCCTGCATTCTTCCAATTTAAAGAGAATACTGTGTTTTTATTCATCAACTTAAAACACTGATATTTCAGCTTGTAAGACAGTTTTGAAATCTCGTATGAACTGCCTAAGACACCTAATGATCCATTCTGTTATCCCTTCAGGACAAATCTAGTTTCACTGGGTAACTGATTCAGAAAATGTGCCCCCCCCCCGCCCCCGCCTTTCCTGGCAGTCTCTTAGGCCTTTGAATCCTTTGCTGTTTAGAAACTTTATTTTCTTTGTAACAGTATGGTGGAGTAAATAGCTGCAGAAGGCCTGAGGTAAGGGAGAAATACTGTATGTTACCTGTCAGTTGGATACATTAACTGCATTTCAATAAAATACTAGATACTACCCCACTGTCAGATCCCATTTGAATTTAGTCTTTTTAGTTTACAGGACTGCTCTCTTCTATGTAAATTGGTAGAACTGGCTATATTAAAGTTTGACTTGTACATATGAATTATAGAATCAATGTACTTGTAGAGAATGTCTGAAACACTATGGACTAATTCGATTTGTTGAAAACATTTAGGACCCTCTGGAATAGTGATGTATTGACATCAATAGTGAAACCCACTCTGGGTCAACATTTACCCACATATTCTAGGTTACACTGCTCTGGAGCTGTCCTAATGATGACTGGAAATATCCCTAGTGTCCTTTTGGTGTCCAGAGTGCATTTGGGCTGCTTGCTGTGCTGCGGGCCACAAGCCATTAATTGAGACCGAGGAGAAACATGAATTATCCATAGCATTCAGGAGGATACAGAGTGATCCCAGTGTTTTACAGGTGTGGACAGCTGCTTCTAATGTCCACATGTCCAACAGATCCATTTCTGGCTTGCCAGTCACAAGCAGCTCCCTCACAGAGGGTTGCTGGTGATGTCACTTCTGCTGAGATCACAATATGGTGCCCAACCATGTGATCAGGAAATGCAACGTCACCAGCAAGCCTTTGCAAGGGAGCTGCTGACCCAGCAGTGGATCTCTAGGACACGTGGACCCTGGATCCAGCTGTACACACCTGCAAAAAAACTAGGATCACTCTGGATCCTCCAGGATGCTACAGATAAAACCTGTTTTGCCTTGGTCTGGATGAATGCCTGGATGCAGCACTTCTGCTGTGAATCCAGTCCTATGTTAAGCAGATTCCTCATAGATGTTGAATGGTTTGTTCACTTAATTTGGCCCATAAAGATTTGGCCCCTGATATCAGCCAAGACTGAGAACAAGCACTTTAGGTTGAAGGCAAAGCCATAGAAAGTTATTATGATTTGGCTAAAAAGGGATGCAAGTACAAACAACATGCTTCAAAAGCTACATGCACAAATTCATAGAAAAACATGACATTTTATGCAGTTTTGAGAGCTATTCAGACTTCCTGCTCCCTCTCCTGGTTGGCTAAAAAGCAGAGCTGGCTAGGATCCACACAGGGATTGACCAGGGGTTCCTCTGACATCACAGCCAGAAGGAGGAGATCCCTGTGGTGGGAAGGAGAACAATTGATGATTTGTCACCTCGAATATCCAGTCCATAGCAAGAACGCCCACATGGAGGGTGTGAAACCAAGGGAAGTGGTGACATGAGTATGCAGATGGTCTCTTGATTAACTTAAGTGTCCAGTTCTGGGAAGACAAAGATGCAAGACTCAAAAGACAAAGGTTGACAATATCAAACAATCGGGATCGGCTGCCTATTCAGAAGACTAATGTATTTTATATTTGTTTAGCCTTCACTTTTGTGGGACTGACAAGACTCTAGCTATGTCCAGACAGGAAAACATCTTAAGCTCATCTTGGTGACAAAAAGGATAATCTGGTTCACATCTGTATACAAAGGGGTTTAAGGTTATCTGACTTGGGAGATTGCTCAAAAAATCTTATGCAAATAGGGGACACAGGGGCAGTGGATGTATCCAGGATACATTTATACAAGTGTATACATTCAGGAATTGATACAGTATACAAGCAATACAAGTTACACAATGAGTATCAGTTTTATATGTTTATTAAAAGGTTTCAATTTGATAGAATTTGGGATATAGCTGTGACTAGTTTCTTCCAGAGCCTAGCAACTTTGACATTCAAAAATGCTTTAAAAATAAATAAAACATATTTAATCTTTGAAGTCCTCTCATTGTTCTTAAACTTTTGGAGAGGGAATACTGTGGCTAGTCAACAGAACTGCCTCAAATTATATATGTTTGGTTACTAGAAAAGCTGTTATTCATTATTTAGAATCAATTAGCAACTTGTCTGGGATGTTAAGTTCCATAAATTCAAAATTTATTTGGTTTTAACTACTTTTGTTCTGATTTGGATATTGGATTTCAGGTACACAGTCAATCAAACAAAAGGAAAGGCCCTACTGTAAATCTGTAGCTAGGTGCAAAGAGTTCTTTGGGAGCATATTGTCTAGAGATGATGTGTCAAAAGGTATTTTCCAACCACAGCCTTGTATGACAGCCCTTATGTGCCATAGCCCCCTGTATCTATGTACATTGTTCGGTGGACAGTTATATATCTCTGAATACACATTCAGTGTAAGGATGTAACATGGTGAAATTGACACCTGTCATTGTCTTATTGATTGGGTAAAGCCCTGCTGGGGTTAAGAGGTTGACAGCCACATTAATCTTTCCTGTTTCAGAACCTATTCCATCACAAATAATTTTTACATAAGAAAAGCCCTGCTAGACCAGAGCAATGCCCTCCCTAGTTTGGCATAGTGACCAATTAGACAACTATGAGAAGTCCAAAGCAGAACCAGGATATAACACCGCCCACCCACTCTGGTTCTCCAGCAGCTAGTACTGAGGGGCATACCAGTAACTGGAGTTCAGAGTTTTAAAAGGATATCCTAGACCAGTTATTTATTACCCCCAGAATCAGAGGCAATAAACCACTGATAGCCCTATGTTCCTTGAATTTTTTCAAATCCTTTTTTAAAGAAAAATGTCACATTGATGACCATCAATAGCAAATGTCATAGTTCAATTATATGCCAACACCACATCAGCTGAGGTACTCTAGTTGAGGACAACTCTGGTTGAGTTAAGTCCCCAGAGTCAAAGCAAACACAAGATTACTTTTAATATTTTTTAAATGTCATGCCAGTTAAAAAAATCCATTCTCTCATTTAATGGGTTGATTTGTGCAAAAGATTATGGTTACAAGAGCAGGAAAAATATGCTCTTTGTATCTGGGACTTCTGTTTTGGGGCTAGGTTGGGGAGAGTATCCTCTTGCTATCTGATTCTCTTTAGAGCACTTTTTTAAATACTTTAAAGTATTTGAGTTGCTTGTTTTTAATTGGTATTGCTCACCCTGAGCCTTTGGAAATAGGACAGGTTAAAAATCCAAATAAACATAATTAAATCTTAGCCACAGGAATAATTCCTGTTCTGAATCTAGGACACCCCTGTAGAATTACTCTGACATTATATACAATAAGAACTTAAAGCTCAGAAAGGCAAAAAAAAGAAAAGAAAAAAGAATTAAGATGAAATCATTGCAAAATGCCAAAGACAGAGGGGGTATGGTTCTACCAAACCTTAAGCTATACTACAAAGCTGCAGCTCTAGTTTGGATGAAAGAATTGATAACTTTATAATAAAAAACTGCAGACATTAGAAGGACATGATTTAAGATATGGATGTCATGGATACTTAATATATGAAAAAAACAAACATTTACTCTAATTTTAAGAACCACCTGCTAAGAAATACACTATACAAATCAAGACTCTACTTAAAAATACATTTGTGGGCTGTTAGATGAGGTGGAAGAGGAAAGTAGGTACTATAGGTAGGCATGTGAATTCAGTCCTCTCACAGCCTCTTCCAGCTGCACAATGGGACAGACTTTCACCAAGACAAGCAGTTAATTCCAACCCCAAAATACTGCAGAGTCCTGGTCACAGCAGAGATTTTATGGCCTTGTATAGTAGCTCATCAGCTTGAATAAACACTCATGACCACTGTCATTCATTCACAACTCCTTGGAGGTTTATTCATTCAGTTGCTACTTATAACTATTTACAGGTCTCCTCTTAGTATACAAAGACACTCATGACCTCACACTACAAGGATGGTGATGGATTACAAAATGCAGAGAATCATGGTGAAGCCTCTAAAAATGGCAGATAGCAAGTACATGCCAGAAAAGGAAATGCAGATACAAGCCACTCCCATTCTTTCCTCCAAAGGACAGAAAATGACTCAGTTGTCCCTCTATAATCACATCTCTACTCTTAACCCTTTAGAGGACTGTGCTGTGAACACATGACATGAACTGTATTTTTTTCACACACGAGGTGTATGCAATGTATTCCTATCTATTACAGCTTTTTGTACCTGACATGGACACATCTATCAAAGAAGCCTTCTATTGGACAGAGATGGGAGGAGACCAATACCCCAACTATAAACAGGCAGTAATTGGGCAACAAAATGAAGCTCATTTCAAAAAACCAAGCCAACTACAAGAGAGCATTCAATTTTCATAGTTCCAATATAGACAACTACAATAAAGACACCAAATGGATAAGAAGATAAGCACTGATTGGAAAGTTAATGAAATAGATAATATTTTCTTCCCGTCCTAGGAAAAATAAATTGCAAAAACCTATAAAATATTAAAATTAGACACAGAATTACATTTAATCAAAGATTGTCTGACTCAATGGTCTAAGAATCTGGGCCATAATTTTCACATAGACCAGTGGTTCTTAACCTGTGGGCCACAGACCACCAGTGGGTCTGCGAGCCTCCTTCCTGTTTTTTTTTTAATTTTATTTCCAATAAAATAAAAATTCACATAGCCTGCCACTCCTTCCCTCTTGCTGATCATGGCATATGCTCTGTATCAGAAATTAGAGCTGATGTGGTTTATCCAATGCAATTTTCTGAATCAGCACCCCAAACTGAATCTAAAGTTGACTAAAACTGATTTGTAATCCTTTGGGTATTAATGTTGGAGAGTAGTCCCTGCCCAAAGTGGTCCCTGCCCAAGTGATCCCTGGTCAAAGTGGTCCCTGGTCAAAAAAAAGGTTGGGAACCACTGACCTAGACAAATGGGAACAGATGTGGAAAACAAAGATTAAATTCACAAGATGCTATGGAGTAAGAGATATTTTCTATAAGATGATGTATAGATAATACAAGATGCCGGAAAGATTTGCAAAGATGGAATAAAAAATTTAAAAATGTTTGTTGGAAATGTCATCAAAAGGAAGGAACATTTTACCATATGTGGTGGACATATCCCAAAGCAAAAAAATCTGGATTATAATACATAAGAACATTGAAAACATCTTAAGAATTAAAGTACCACTAAAGCCAGAAGCCTTTCTGTAAGGACTTACAAATTCAACACTATCAAAAACATTCCTGATGCTCTTTTTACACATGGTAACTGCAGCAAGGATTGTTTTTGCTCACTATTGAAAACAAGAAGAAATTCCCACCCAAGATCTATGGATTACAAAAATGCTGGACAGGGCAGAGAGATGGACAAGCTGGTGAGGCTTATACAATCGCCCGATACTTCCAAATTTGAAGAAGAATAGCAGCCCTTTATTGACAGAAAGACAAAAGAAAATGAAAATATTGGTGATTTTATAACAGTAAGGGAGAGCTAGGAATAACAAGAAAAAATAGAGAAGTTAGTGGCAAGAATAACAGGATCCCCAATTATATGCAAGGGATTCTGGAAAATTAACTTACCAGAGACAAGTTTTATGACAAAAAAGAATAGTTTTTTTTAATATGAAGGAGACAGCAGAGGTAGGGTAGGAAGCGTTAGTAAAGGTTTTCTTCTATGTTATATTTCCCAACTTTTCTATCTCCTTTGTTTCAAAACTATACACCCACTTTTCTATCTTTTTTTAAGATTAGAAAATAAATGTGTGGGTTTTTTTCTTTTTAAAATCATAGAAACCTTTTTGTATTAGATTTACAGTAGAAGAAGATGAAGATGCAAGATGTTAAAAATGCCCTTTCTACATCCACTCTTGTAGCCTTCCCCATTCCTCATATTTTGCAACATAAATTATATGGAGGGGGAAAAGAACTTTAAAGTTCAATTGTAAAAAGGTTGATTTGGAACATGTTAGAGGCAGTAGCCATAGTATGACTATGCTTAGTGATTAATAGTTTGCATGCCTTGTAAGAGTTTATGCCAATTTGTGAAAAAGGTGAGATATAAAATATAAATTCAATCAATCAATCCATTGTCGAAGGCTTTCACAGCCAGAATCACTGTGGTGTTGGTGGTTTCTGGGCTGTATGGCTGTGTTCTAGCAGCATTTTCTCTTAACGTTTCACCTGCATCTGTGGCTGGCATCTCCAGAGGATCTCTGCAGTAAGAAAGGACAAAGTAACAATTAGCATAGTTGTCTGCCCAGGTTTTAAATCCTTCTCTCCAGCCCAACACATTTAACAGGGATGCAGGAAGGGAGTTCTTAGTGGCTGCTCCAAAGCTATTACCAGGAAGATTAGGGGCTCATCTACACTGACCACATTGGTGTTTGGAACAGGTATGGCAGAAACATCTTTTGCTGTGTGGATGACTACACTGCCATTTCTGGAAGGTAATTACATTAATTATGGGAGGTGGCTTTAAACTGATTCCAGAATCTAGAGTATCCAAGACTTGAAATCACCAGAGAAAGTAAATGTAGAGTGGACAGAGAGGTAAGAAACCAAGACAATATTTTGTTATGGCTGGGCTAGGAGCTTTATCCATACCTGGTCTTTTGATAAGATGCTTCCTCCACATCTGAGATAGATGGCATGAGTGGTTCAGCCACTGTGTGCTATGTTTGCATCATCATGTCTGAATATATCAATCATTTGCATATCTGGTTGTCTTCCTTGCCTTCTAAAATTATATCACAGGATGAAGAAATACTGGCAGAATGGATAGTCCTGTTAGCCAAAATAAAAATGTCGAAGTCTATGATTTTGCCATGCACCCAATTCAACTGCTTTAAGCTTTGGTCATTATCTTGCTCAGTGAAAAGTTCTAGGTAATTCAAAAGGATGTTATTTTAAAAAAACAACAATTGGATTAGCCTAATAAAGATATTATTATTTGGCTTTTCTATGCTGTCTCCTCATATTTATGCAGTGCAGATCACTACAGAATGTCTGTTGAGTCTTCCCTCTTAAAGTATCCCCAGACTGGTTCATTTCACCCGTATAAATACAGAGAAAGTAGGTATTTTGGTTCTCTCCTTATCTACCTCATTATTTAAATAGTTTTATACAAGGCTCTGGATTCACTATCAGTGAGAGGCATACTGGGACAACCTAGCAGAGTCTAGTGCTTGCAAACCCACTCCGGTTGTTGTTGTCATTTGATTGCTTAGCTTGCCTGTCCATACCATCATTGGAATAAACAATTTTCTTCTCATAAGCTAAACTGTGCTAGAATAAGAGGGAATAGAACAACTTTTTCTCCCCAAACAAATCATCACTCAAATATGGCTCATTCTTCTGCCAGTAAATCTTTTCTGCCTTAGTAGGCAATGTTCTGCTCCCCATTCCACATTATGCACCATACAAATAGGATGTACCACCATCATACAAGATTTGACATGAAGTTCAGGATATACATGACCAAGGACTTTGTCACATAAGACAGGAAAATCTGAATTACAGATGGCCATGTGGATCCTGCTACAGGTTTGTCTTGCCTCCACCCCATCCCATCGATAAAACCACCAATAGCTCCCCATCCCATGACATTATCACTACCAGCTGTGGTGCAATGGATCCCCTTTGCTTCATCATGCCAGCAGTAACATGATGAAGTAGGTTGGATTTTCCTCCTCTCACATCAAGATTATTGCTTTGTATTATCTATCTATCTATCTTTGGCAATTTTTAAAATGCTAGAGTTGTACCACTGCACTCATCTTCATTATCTGCAGGGTACATGCAGACAGATGGTGTTACAATGGTGTGCCATAGTCTGATCATGGGAGCACACATTGGTGAACCAGCTCAATTGTGCTACTGAAGAGGGATGTGATACCAAAGGTGCTCAACCTGGTATCCATCAATTATCTACACTAATACAAGTCCAGACGAACATCTGAGTGTAGTCAAAATGGTAAAAATGATCAATGAGGAAGAACACACAAGCTAAAAGGTTATAGCAATTTGTTTTTACCTGAGCCTCCTGGGATGTTTGACCGTGTCCTCTTTTCTCCACCTGCTTAATTAACTGTGTGCATACTATTTTTAACCTTTACCTTTAAACTTTTGAACTATGGTGTTGAAGAAAAATTCTGAGAGTGCCTTGGACTAGTCCATGAGATTAAACTAGTCCATGCTCCAGGAAATAATGTCCAGCTACTCACTGGAGAGGATATTAGAGGCAAACATGGAGTACTTTGGCCACATCATGAGAAGACTGGAAAGCTTAGAGAGGACAATGATGCTGGGGGAAAACGAAGGAAAAAGGAAGAGGGACTGACCAAGGGCAAGATGGATGATAGATGGATGAATGAATGGTATCCTTGAAGTGACTGGTTTGACCTTGAAGGAGTTGGAGGTGGCGATGGTCGACAGGGAGTTCTGGCGTGGGCTGTTCCATGAGGTCACAAAAAACAACAAAACCTTTAAAGTATTTTAAAACTATTTAGAAACTAAGTTTGCAGCAACTGAAGTAACCTGAGAACAATAGAAAAAAGTGTGAAAAAAGAGATAAACTACTAGTAATTTTTAAAGCAGCCGAAAAAGTGAGTCAATAGACAATTAAAAATATTGTTCCTTTCAAACTGGATAGTTAGAGGGTATGCATGCGGCAGCACACAGTCTGAGAACCTAGGCAATGAGCAATTTCAGTCAGATGACATTTAATATCCCTCCTTGTTCTGTTCAACAGGAAACCTGAAAGATGGAGAATGAGGTATATGAAATGAATTATAATGCTTTTGTCTTCCTGTGCCCGAGCCACCCAAGTTATATTTTGAGGAATGTTAGTAACATTGGATCTCTACATTCTGTATAGCTTTTATGTTGGTAATATATGTTTTTCCTTTCAATACATTGGTTGGCTATAAACTTTCAAAGTCCTTGTGGTGTATAAGCTGTCTGTGTAAAGATGATTAGTATATGAAATCTTCTGATACATTGTCACACTTGCAGCCTCAGCAATGGATCGTGGCTATGTACAATGTCAGGGCTAATCTAGAGGGGGGGAAAGCAAGTGTAAGCCCAGCATTTTCCCTGTCATATGTTCTAACCAAACCCTTCAACTACCTCCTAACATATTTATGATAACCTTAAAACTGTTTTTCTTCTGTCAAAAAATATAAGCCTGCCAAGCTCAAAATAGCATATAACTGTGTTTTTCAACCACAAAGGACTGTGTGGTAAATGGTAGTGTGTGTGTCTGTGTATGAGTGAGAGAGAGAGGGGGGGCAACGTAAGGGGAAAGGCCAAATAAATGTTAAGTAGGTAACAACATGTAAAGGAGATCCCTTCCAAATCAGATATAGTGTATATACTCAAGTATAAACCAAGGCCCCTAATTTTTGCCTCAAAAAAGCTGGGAAAACATTGACTCAAGGATAAGCTGGGAGTGGGAAATGCAGCAGCTACTGGTACATTTCAAAATCAAAATAGATACCAATAAAATTACATAAATTGAGGCATCAGTAGGTTAAATATTTTTGAATATTTACATAAAACTGTAATTTAAGATAAGACTGTTCAACTCTGATTAAACCATTATTCTAACCTTCTTCGATGTAAATGTGCTTATGAATCATTCCAATAATAATAGAGTAAAATAATGCAATAATAATAATGATAGAGTAAATAATGTAAATGTAATAATACTGATAAATAGAATAAAATAATAAAAGTAATAATAATAATAATGTAAAATAATAAATAGCTTTGACTCAAGGATAGCCCGAGGGGGGCTTTTTCAGCCTAAAAATGGCTGAAAACAGCTTATACTCACGTCTATGTGGTAATTTGTTTTCAACTCAGTAAGCCAATAACTAAGGTGGGTTCAAATATCTGCTGAGCCATGGAAACCCACTGAATGATCTTGAGTGAGTCACACTCTCTCAGAGGAAGTCAAAGGCAAGTCTTCCATACATCTTGCCAAGAGCCCCCAGTGACAGGCCAACTTAAGTAAAAAACAAAAAAAAACAAAAACTACAGAAACACAGATTTTGGATAAGAATAACCCTTTCCTTGGTCTAAGCAAAGATCAGTAAAAATATGACTTCTCCTAGGGAGCTGCTGCAGGGCTGATGTAGCCCCTAACCTATGATACTTGCCCACTTAAAACAGTTTAAGTTTTTTCTGCAACCCCTTTGGTTTTTCCCTTACTGCTACTGCTTGGAATTCAAAAATCTTCTGTGATCAGGCTATTGCTAAGACTACAGAACAAACAAAAGGATTTAAAAATGTGTAGAGATTTATTAATATATATAACACCAACAGGTTAATATAATACAAGTATACGATACGACTATACAATTTCCTTCTGCCTGCATAATTAAAAAAATGATTTAGTGATCTGCTTTGGAAGAGCGGGGGTCTTTCTGGTACTGGAGATTTCCCATCTGAGTTCAGGGCCAAATTTAGCCTGTCATATCATTTTATGTGGTCCTCCAGATGCTGGACTACAGCTCTTTTATTCTTCATCAATAGACACCAGGACTAGAGCTGATGGGAGTTGTGATACTGTAACATCTGGAAGGCTGTAGTTTGTCTGTTTAGTCAGGGGAGTTGGGTGATGCTATCACCTATATTCTACATTTTTCTCCAAAGTGAGAGTCAGGCATCTCAGAAAAAGTAATACAAATGCAAATGCAAATGCATAAAAATAACATACAGGCAAAAATTTTGCTGGTAAATGATTTACCAATCTATAGAATTAAAACAAATTCTTCAAAATGGCAAAGAGTAAAGAACAGTAGTATAGGACACTGTTAAACGCCCTTGCAGTCAGTCCCTAAAAGCCTGATGGCATAAAAATATTTCTCCTTCAGATGGAAGAATAGCAATGAAAGAGACTTTGCAACCTTTCAAAGAAGGGAAGTGCAAAACCTGGGATTACAGGGCTCCATGCAATTTGTCAGGCAATAAACGGCTGTTAAATAGTAGTCAATTTTGTTCATAGATACAGTAATGGACAATATTATTTAAAAGACAATGTGAAACATAGGGCATCCTTTTTTGCATATTGATAACAAGCTACTTTTCACTCTGGGCACAGTTCAGTCCATGTTAAGTGCTAAACTCTTCTTAAGAATAAAGGGTCTTCTTCAGATTGATCTCTGTGAATAGTTACTTAATGGCGTCCCACTGAATTCAATGGGATTTATTTCCAAGTAAGTGCATGTTAGATGCTTGTAAAAAAAAGTGTTTAATTTTAATCACACAATACTATGTGCTCAAGCATGGCTTTATGACCTTCCCATTTTGAAGTCCAATTTAGAATTCTCTGATCATCCCAGTCATAGATAGGTCGAGAGCTGAAGTAATTAAAACATAATACTGAGGGGCAGTATTAAGAGAAGAGGTTGTGAATGGCAAATGAAATGCAGTGATGATAAATTAATGGGATGCAAATTTGGAAACTAGCACTAGTTAGGCCTATACAGTGTTTGGATGAAGAATTAAAACTGTTGCCATTCAAGGGTAGGGGAAGGCTCTCTTTAGAGAGCTCCTTGAGAGGATCGGTTTGATGGTCTTGAACCTCTGAAAATACTAGGATCTATTAGGTGTGGGGTTGAAAATAATGTAGAAAATATAATCTGTCCTCACTTAAATTTGTAAGTGCTATTTAGCATAGGAAAGAATATTAGGGAAGGATATGATTATAATACATACAAGCAGCACATCTCTGTGACTGTCATTGGGTCTGTAGCCTGTGCAGGAAACCTATAGTCCAA